ATGTGGTGAACATTGACTCTATTCTATTCATTCCGTTTAGTGTATTTTTATGTCTTTGTTTTACGATGCGATTGATAGTACGCCCGCGATATATGAGAATATACGATATTCATTCGTCCATATTCGGACTTCTATACTACGCGTACATTCGGTAGTTAAGATACCTACCACTATTCTAATTATCACAGAATATCAACAAAAATGGTGGAAGCTTGGGACGTTCGTTTGCTCATTGATCTAGGTTTAGCTAGGTAAAAGAGTAATCTATAGAATAGTCTAAATTATTAGACACACTTCAGAGATGTTTGTAGACTGTCGAAATTTTTGGTAGGATGCGTAACGCAGATGCAGTTGGCCTACTCTGGATATCAGATTGCAAACACACACCGCAGAACGCATTTAATGCTTATGAATTAATTTATCTGTGGTCAGTCCATGAGCCGCAATGCATGAGGATTTAAAACGATCCCTCCCGGCCGTGGATTCTCAAAACACAAAATAGTTGAAGGTAACCGAAGGAAATCGAGAAACTCAATCGCTCAGTTGCGGATGCGCTACATGAATGGCCGTGAACCGATATTACTTCCCGATTACATCAGCAGTGGGCGTTTTTACATACTTTTCCTTTAATACTTTGCACAGGCGAAATCACTGGTTGGTATGTTGCGCTTAAGTGGATTCCACGTCTTGTCCGCTTTGCATTTCTACAGGAATTTCTTGTTGGTTCCGAGGCTGAACCCCACTTAACCATCTTTCTCTCAATTGTCTTAAATGCAACAAACTTTTCTTTGACGGTCTACAGCAACAAAATGTCCGCGCCACTAACCGCGGGGACTTTCCTCCACCTACACTAGTCCGATGATACTTCCAGTTGATCTTAGTACATATGACGGTCAGTCGGATCTGATGCGTTCTCCTCTGTAGTTTGTTCCTGCAGCACCTTTTGCGCTCTTTTCCTATTTCCTCTCCCTGTCAGGTATAAACTGACTTCGTGCCCAACAGAGAGATGCAAATTCCGACCGTCTATCATCACGAATGGGGACTAGCCCATACTGAACTGGACTGAAGTAGGACGTTCTAAAAGAACCATCGGAAGGTTCGCTGCTCAACAACTACAGATGACCGCGGGTAATTTGTCTGAAGGCAACTGGTGTCGTTCTTAACTACCTGACACTAAGTTGTTTTAACCAACGCGTGAATTCTTCGTTCTCCGATTAGGCCACTGGCCCTCCAAGGTTTTTATCAACACCCGTGGTTTTCCACCACCGATGCACCACCTTTCCACCGACCACAGCCACTTGCTATCTTGTTACGGAAGCAGACTTGGCCCGAAGCAATTACTCTCCATTACCCGAGGATGCACCACCTTTCCACCGACCACAGCCACTTGCTATCTTGTTACGGAAGCAGACTTGGCCCGAAGCAATTACTCTCCGATTACCCGAGCGCATTGACTGACACTAAGTTTACTTCAAAATAGCTTCGCCATGTCAAGGGGTCCTCAACCCTTGGGTTTCCGAGACCGATACACTTCTGACGGGATGATTTTCTTTTGTCGTACTTTCTCCATCATTTTGCACCGAATGCGGACCACAACGTGTTTTATCGCATCACTGGTCAACATGCCGTCTACTGTGGGATTTTGGTACCATTCTACAATTGGCTGTCTTCTCAGGTCTTGAGAAATCACACATCCGAAACGCCGGACTCCCCAGGTAACATGCCGAGTTTACTCAGACCATGTCCGTGGAAGCGAGGTCAAAATACCCCCCAATCGGTTAATTTCCCCCGCGTCGTTGATGACACTACTACCAGACAAGAAGGTCACGACCTCTCATAATATGAGGCTCTTGTCTATTAGTTGACCCATTTGTCTTGATGTCTTGAGGTCAACACACCAATCATATTCATTGTAGTTTACCATCTTCTACTTCTAATCTCCAAGACCATTCAGTCCGCTGTTTATAATTCCCTGGTGTATGTATGATCTGGATGTCAAGCCCCTGCAGTCAAAGCCACAGCGCTAGATTTTCGTTGGGACATCTGATGGCTCTGATCCACTCGGGGGGTATATGATCAGTGTCCGCATAAAATTTTTCCATGGTGGATGTGTCCCTTAAAGCACAATAACTCTATCTATAGCAAAAACCCCTTCCTCCATCGAATGCTTCCATTCAGCATTGGTCGAGTTGAAAGCTATCCAATTCATTTAGTTCAATGCCCCGATCAACGGCCTCCGTTGCCACGGTACTGATGCATCCGATCTTGGGCAGTTTGATAGTAAGCTGTGCTCCGACAGCCCTGAAGTTTCCATACGATGCACTGGCTTACTGACCCTGCGTATATTGTGGGACTGGATCGCGCGCTCGGGGCTGTAACCGGATTGAAATCTCCAACGCACAAACTATAGTGTCCCACCAATTTGGGTAGTGGCCTTTTAGCAATCCTCAGGTTTGTAAGTAAACGGTCCTGGATATGGAGCTTTTATCCATCAGCGGTTTTGCTTTTCCACAACCAACCCTATGAACAAGGAGCTCAACAGACTCAAATAAGTTATATCCGGGTTTCACTTTTTGGCAAGAAAGCTTTCCGGATACTCCTAAGAATGCGCTTAAAGTTTACTCCATGTCATTTCTCTGAATCGCCCCGATAAGAACGTCACCGAATTTATTTGACAGTGATCATACATTGCAGTTTACAGACTAGCTAATTAGCTGAACGTCATTCTCCAGGAGTAGCATCAAGCTTCATTATTGCCCAGCGCATCTACTTGGCGGCTTACTGTCACTATTCTATGTATAATATAAACACACTGAATTGTTGAGTATTTCGGAGCAAACAAAAAATTTCTGCGGCTGAAGAGGTAGTCAGCAATAAATTTTTCGTCAATCGATTTACCCGCATGGTATGCATTAAAGATTGCCTATTTTGTTAGCCTTTCTAACTGAGACGATGGAAAAATTACAAGAACCTGAAAATCTCACATCCGCCAATTGCGAGAAATTTTTACTCCAGCTTGCGCCACAGGTAAAGCGGCATGCAAAAAGGCCGCACAAGTAAAATAACTCGGAAGATACGGGTCTTTTTTCCCGGATCCCTGGGCATAGTCCGATAATCTGTTCCTTGCCGGTGGACATTTTGTTGTACTCTTGATCAACAGCCAAATGTACGCTGCTAGAAGGAAACTTTGGGCAAGTACTCTGAGGGGTAACGTGATGCCCTACGAGACTATCCATGCGGTACCATGTGGTCATTGTCCCTAGCTTCGGTCTTCCAATGAATCTGCGTTTCAGGAAACATCTTTCGAAAGGACGTCTATCAAAGTTCCGGGTTGAACAGCAACAAGCTTGTGCTAAACTTTCACCAGTGGGTGCTATGTAAAAAGCCAAGCTGCCTAAATGTCCGTTGCCTGCCCTCACTATTGCAATAGGTTTGCTTACGATGTCTTCCCCTTCTACCTCTGTGGAACTCCCGTCGTTTATCGATTGAGCAAAATTCACCTCTTCGTTTAATTTTACCTTTGACTATGTCATGGTCAGCGTAAATGCAGCTGCCGCATTAATTTAAAGACGATTCTGTAAAACCGCTCCTGACAACACAGGACTAAATGTGATGAAATAGGTTCCTCCAATGATCAGCCGCGCCAGAGTTATAAAATTCGTTTGCCCAAATGTGACTGCACATACTTGACCTTAGAGAGACCAGTTTTCGTCCGTTCGATCCACCTGTGTCCGCACATTGTTCACTAGAGACTTGTCCCTCTTTTCTTCTGACTCGAATTGAGACAGTAACCCTCGTGCGAACTCCCACACCAGACAAAGTAAATCCTCTACATTGAGCCGGCCAACTACTTTTGACAACCACAACCAAGCGACAAGAGCGACAGCACGCCACTGATAAACTGATCCTTTAGCAGCGGTTGATCCGGCATCGAATAAACTTGGCGGAGCGGTCAATTCACATTTGCGGTTTCTCCTACTGGTGGCCCGGTAAGTCAGGTTCCGTGGTGAGGGCGCCCTTCGCATAAGTATTGTCCGCCTTCCTGGCCCAATTTCGAAATACTTTTGCCCGCCTTGAGTGTGGGTCTTCAGTGCCTCCGAATCACTCCGATCAGTCTTATTTTCCCGAAGTATTTCAGGCATTCCACTATCAGTCTTATTTTCCCGAAGTATTTCAGGATAGCTCAGGCATTTCCGCTTCTGAGCCAGTTCCATCCTACCCTGGTCAAGGTACTAGATGAAAGGAACGGCGCTTTGGACCTATTTGTGCTACGACAAAAACATGTCTACCGCTAATAATCGGACGCAACTCAGAAACTCCATCTGCAAAGAACCCGAGAAGCCGTAATCTCGGACTTCTAAAGCCTCGTTTGAACTTTGGCCATCACGGAACCAGCACGCTCAAAAAGCCCTGCGTCCTTCAGCCAAGCTGTTGACTAGCTTTAGAATGATTCCGGTAGGTGTTGGTTGTTCTGTAACTATAAGACGAGTAACATTTCTTGAACAATCACATCTCGTGGCTGTCGCACTTTTGGCCTTCTTCATTCTACAGTAAGCCACTGGTTCAGGGAGCGATTTTATGTCGGCCCTCCTCTGACTACCGCTCAAATTCGGCCACCCTGGATGTTTATTCTGAGTTACCTTAATAACTTTCGCCTAATTTTTATGCTCCGCATTCATCACCCTCTTCGCGTATATTGTGCACGTGTGTGCCTCCAAGTGGGTGCGTTAGTCAGTGACACTAACAAGGGACCTAGGTAATCCTCCTCAAGTGGCTCCGTCCTTCCCCGGTCGCTACACATCCACCATATAGCCTCCTAAATTTCCGGTTCTTCATCGGAATATTTGGAATTAACTTCCGTCAGCTACCTAAATATCGTGCTCCAGTATACTAGGTATCCGTTTGGTTGCACTAATTGCCCTAAAAGCCTTAAAAAGTAGGCGCCTTTTCGAATTAACGGAGTGTTTCTACTTTTGACCTTCTGAAAGCTTTAGCTCGACAAAAGCGCAGTTCTAGGCTTTTCAGTAAATTAAAACGCTGCTTCTTACCTGCATCTCTAGCCAAAAAATGTCCCAACCTTATCTAACAGCCTGATTATGCCCTCTTGCACTTCAGTCGGTGGTGTACGGCTTACCTGATACGCTGGGTTCATGTATAATGATTTTCCCGAACCGAAGCGGATTAAGCGGTATTTTGCATGGTACAGCGTCCTATTCTGCCCCTTACTTTTTACCAGCCTCTCCGAAACCACAGGTGCATAAGATCACTTTACAACAATTGGCGGGTAAATAGGCGGGTGACTGCGGATCGGTTATAAGCAGTTGTCCAACGCTTCTATACCGAGTACCTGGATCGGAATGAGTGAAAGACGTCTTGTATATTGGCCAAGCTGTGATGCATCATTTTATATGGAGCGGGCAAAACTCGTGCTACCGTACTCGTTGCTTTGCATGATTTGGTACACAACGTGGGAATATTGAGTGGAGATTTTTTCGTGGATTAGCCTACTCGCCAGTTGCACTTGACACAGTGTATTACTGGTATACGATAACCTGCTTGGATAATCCATTGAGGAAATTCACAGAGCGACGCGCAGTTACCAAGTGTTTTACGGACTGTTTTAGACTAGCAGTACCCACTTCATCAAATGACTTCACATATTCATGTAACGCACTATAATGAAGCTGCGGAGAGCTCTGCCATTGAAGGAAACAGGTTTGTGTGTTACCCGTCGATCCACTGGAGGCCTGATACTCTAAACTGAGCAATTTGTGCATAACCCGAAGCAGTTCTGTTTCACATAAGCATGGGTATCCCGTACATAACGCAAACGCTATTGTTACGGAGTTTGTCCGGGAGCGTATCGTTTGGCAGTGTTCTGTCGCACGGCGTGGCCGAAAAGGATGAACATTGTAAGTGTAGTCCTAGAAAATATTCGGACGATTAAAAAACCTTTTCACCTCACGACCGCTGCGCTCTTTATGGGCTCAGTCACCAAATATTGAAAACAAATTTCTTCGAATTCGTTGTTGAAATACCTTCCAGTCGTTCATAGCGAAACGCGCTCTAAAATGGCATTTTTAGGAACAAAGAAACCTTTTGGTGTGATATAAATCGATATTTACGCCTCTTAGCTAGCTCTAAGGGACTTATCAATTCTGTAGCCTAAATGAGAACTAAGTTGCCCATCAGTTTGAGGCGCCACAGAGTAACGTGAGTCCTTTCATTCGGCTAATGTCCTCTAGAAAGTGCATTAGGCTTACGATATTTAACCCTTGCTTGTCATAAAAGGCAACCTTGGAAGAATCCAAATACAAACAAGAACACGAAACAAACCGTGAATAATATATCAGATTATTTATGGGCATCAAACGTCCTATTCATACTCCCCCAAATTTTGTCGACTTCGGGGCCATCCAACACTATCAAAACCGGACACCAGGAAAACATGTATTGCTCCGACCCTTCTCTGGGCTGGGCGTTGGGCACCAAAATGTCACGGCTTCATTCTCAGGAAGCCGATGAACTCGTGGGTTAATGGAGACGAACTTGAACTAAGGGCCAATGGACAAGTGCTTTGTTTAAGTCACTTAAGTAAACCCGGCTTTACGAAATATTTTGTCCTTGTTGCTATGGTGTTTGATGTTCTGTCACTTGCTTCGAGAATGAACTATGTATGAAATCAAAGGTTATGAAAGATTGAGAAACATTGGAGAGGGAGCCTTCGGTAAAGCGGTGCTCGTTCTGTGCAAAAAGCTGCGCGTCCATCGCGTTATAAAAGAAATAAATATCAGCAAAGTTGGTTTACTCTCCTGTCTCATGTTAATGATCCAGATGAGTCCCAGAGAGAGGGAGGAAGCAAGAATAGAAGTGAGTATACTTTGAAAGAATTATCAGACGAATTTCATCGGCTTAACACTTTCTACCACCATTTTCTGGGGCAAATCTTGCTGTTTGATAGTAAATATGATGTATGGGCTTTGGACACTTCTTTTTCTTCCCATATTTACGGTATAACCTTCAGAATGGTCTGTGGTACTGTCATCGGTAGACAAGCGGCGGGTTGTCTGTTCCCTGGAGCGTCGGTTTACGACTACTCTCTGATTCGTGTATCACTTGCAGATATGGACTAACGCGGTTGCCCACTGTGTATATTTGGTTTGATAGACTTAGATAAAAATGTTAAATTGACTCTGTGATATCAATCACGCTTGCAAAATTCCATCGATTATGCGATAAAATCACACTAATTAACCTGATTTCTTGCCAGCCACTCTCTGCATGCCAGCTAACATTCTGGTTGCTTGTACTTTACTCTTCTCGTTCTGATTGCTTTTTGGTGAGATGTTCCTATCCAAGTGTATGTCGAATGAGTGTTCAATTTATCGAACTGAACAGCTTTGGACTGCACGTGCGGACTATACTCCCGGGTATAAATTGAGCTCTAGGTCCTTACTGTCTTCCCATCTCGGTAATTAAGTATGCTCTAAAGCTGTTCCACGTGATCGTTTTTATTTTTCATGTATACATCATCAACAAACAGCATAACAAACTTTTCAGCTGCTCCTATGATTTGAACACATCTTAAATGGGGTCTGTTTTACTCTATAGCTTCATATCATCAACAAATAACAAATAATTCGAATGGAAGT